AACACTGTCCCAGTTTTACCCTGTCAATGTGTTTAGGTGAAATCTAGATAGGTTTACCAGGCTCTTTAGGTTTATATTAGGTTTGCTCTACTACGTGTATTGAGCACTTTATGTAGTAGCTTTTAATCGTTTTGGAGGTTTTTTTTCTTCGGAATCTGAGCCTGAATTCTGGACGATTGTTTTCGCCTCAATTTCATGTTCTTAGTTCTTGTTTTTTTTTTATTCCTCATTTTTCCTTGGGTATTGGTTTGTTCAACTACAAGCCGAAATACGTAACTTTTTTTCAAAGTACTACTATTCATATATATATATATATATATATATATATATATATATATATATATATATATATATATATATATATATTGTGTGTGTGTGTGTGTGGAACACAAACACATTACACACACACACATATATATATATATATATATATTATAAGCTGATAGTGAGAGTACAGGAATTTCATGCCTCAAGAGATCTTCAAATCAGGAATATTGATTGAGGTATGTCAATCATGATGTGGTGTTGATTTCTATGTCCACACTGTTTACCAACGCTCTCTCCGGTAGTGAAAAGTCTTCTTCCCTAAATATACAACATTTTATACAATACATATATCAATCTATACACACACACACACACACACACACATACATACATATATATATATATATATATATATATATATATATATATATATATATATATATATATATATGCTTTTTGTGTATATTTATGTATTACTCTGTTTTTATATGTATTCACGATGCATAGCATGTTCGATTTTCAGTCAGCAATATGATGCGTTGCTATTGTCAGAGCGCATGCGTGATGTGACAGGTCTCTCTGCGCCTGCGTTTATAATGCTGCGCTTCTTCACGTTTGTCCCAATGCGAGTTTTTTTGTTCGTGCGACCGGGTATTTGTATATCACTACTCACAAAAACCGGCATATCTCCATTCAAGAATCACTTGCCTTTCTGTTCGCAATAATTTTGTTTGTGCTATGAAATTCTAGTCGGTATTGAATCCCAACTAATGACAAGACGAATTAAATGCATGCGCACAACAACAGACGCGTGCGCATGTGTGAGACGGGATACTCGGACATTTTGAGTAGCCTGTTGAATACGGGGATCCGTGTAAAGAAATCTTGCCTTTAATTATTATGGCTTCTCTAAATGGTTCTGGGAACAGTGGGTCGGATGGTACTTGGGCGCGAAGTTAGGTAAGCACACATATAAATAAAAATAGATAGAGGGAGAGAGATAGAGAGAGAGAGAAAGAGAGAGAGCGTAAGTAAAAAGATAAACAATAAACAATGAGGAATAAAAATAAAGAAGAAAATACAAAGCAAAATAGTATCTTGAATTTATTTAGATAGATAGGAATCTGGAGTGATATAATAAAAACTATAGATGCTTTGCTTGATCAAGTACAAGGGCAGGAGTGTTATCAGCCCACTCAATATTGAATTCACTACACAGCAGTCTATTGGGCTAACTAGCCTCTGCTTCTCAGTGGTATAATTTAGTTAGTTGACTTGGTGAATGGCATATCAACACGTTATGGGTCGTTAAACGCTGAAATTTAACTTTTTTGTGAGCTTTGAAGTAATAAAAATATCATATATGTTATTCTGCTTTCACAATTGAATACATGGTAGATAATGCTCAGCTTTTGTGCATATATATGTTTTTGTGGGAATAATTACTTGAGGCGGCGATATGTGTATTGTATGTTGTAGTTTTATTGAAGTTATGCAGTTATATTTCTTGAAAGAATCTTTTCAAGTTGATTATTTCGTTAGTTAATTTTTTTAGTGGCATATCAATGCCTATCTGTTTGGTTATTTAATGCCGAAATCTAAATATTTTGAACACAATTTTATGGCTTCAAACAATTTGAACGCAAATGTATGCCTTCAGTTATAGATAAAATGCATTGTTAGTCATTTTGCTATCAAATGTATTTTTGGTCATTTTTATATAAAATTGTATTGCTTGTATTTTCACTATGAAAATGTAATTTCATATAGTATATTGTTTTTGTTCGGGGTTCACTATTTACCCATAGCTGAGACCCTAACAGGTGCTACCACCCGGGGTAGGGTAGAACTGAGAACAACAGCAATTAAGAGGTGGCTTCACGTTCCTGAAAATTTCCAATCTATAATCAGAGGCATTTAAGCGATATAATGGCTTCCACCTCGTTGTAGAGCATGACCATTGCAAGATATCATTTCATTTCCAATCGCGTTTGTGACTTTCGATACCAAGCAATACCTGTACATGAAATTTAAAAAAAAAAAGGTAGGAAGACTGGGTCAGTCATAGCTTTTAAGCACTAACAGCTTCTATCCAAAAAGAGAAGCGTCCTGGTATGGCGATAAACTACATCCGCGTCCTGGGTATAACGATAAAATACGTTCAACAGCAAGGCCTCTGATAATACGTTTTTGAAAAAATAATATTGCCAGCTGTACGTTTTTGGAAAAATAA